GACCTTCTCTTCAATGACTGACAGATACAGCAGACCTTTTCTTCAATGATTGATAGATGAAGTAGACCTTCCCTTCAGTGATTGATAGATGCAGTAAACCTTCCCTTCAGTGATTGATAGATGCAGTAGACCTTCTCATCTAGGTGGAATTGCTTGTGCTTGCTTTACCTTTGGACATAGAATGCTTATCAGTGCCTGTGAGAGGGAGGGTTAGGAAGCAGAATTGACAAGTCAACAATCTTGAGAAGCAGAACTGGGAGGCATTTCCAACAAAGCCCAAGAACCATTGGTAGACAAGCCCTAATGTATTTATGCTGACTGTGGCTCATACTAGGAATAAAAACTGAAAGACATGAGGGACTTGTGTCTGTGTCTAGTTTCTTTTCAGTCATTATAGTAGAAAAAACATTTTGTACTAGTGAGATATACATAATTATGAAAAAGCAGATAATTTTTCCACTCACTATTTTTTAAGAATAAATAATGAGTCCAAGGTTTAAAAAGCCTGAAGAGTTTCCAGAAAATTGTGATGATACATTATAGTTGGCATGATAAGGTAAGGAGATCCATTTGCACTCCCTGGCAAGGGATTCTGTCTCTGTCATTGAGTTGCATTTAAGAAAAGGTGGTTTCAGAAACCCCACAAAGTGCCTTATTTGCACTGTTTTTGAGTGGAATTGCACCTTGCTGCAGCTTTCTTGTTCTGAGGCGGTACAGCCATGATTGCATTCTACAGTCAGCCTGATCAGCTCTTGAGGCCGGCAATAGGACAGTTCCTTCTTAAAGAGTACAGTTAAAGGTGAGAGCTAGAGGAGGCATGAGTATATAGGTTAAAGAGTTATGTTTTGAAGACAAATCAGGATCTAATGACCTAAGGAAATGTGGACCATCAAAGTGTCATGAGAGAGCAAATATGTTCCAGGAATATTATAATTGTTCAACATTGAATAAATTCCAAACCCCCTTTTGGATAATTCCTTCAGTTGGCTTTTCTAGAGTATCATTAATGAGAAGTTAGCTTTTTGACAGTTCACATCAACTGCTATAGTGGCTGCACCAGTGTGCAATCCTCCTCACAATGAACCAGGGCGCTCCCCCCCCCCTAGCATTTGTTGTCTGTTATTTTGTGGGCCTTTGCCATTCTGACTGGGGTAAAACGAAATCTCAAAGTTGTTTTGATTTACATTTCCTAATTGCTAGGGATTTTTTAATTAGCCATTTTTTTCTTCTTTTGAGAACTATTGGTTCCATTCCCAGGTCTATCTTTGTATCATTTGGTTTTTTGACTCTTTGGGTTTTTGTTTTTGTTTTTTTTTTTAAGTTCTTTTTTTGTTTTTGTTTTTGTTTTTTTGTTTTGTTTTGTTTTGTTTTGTTTTTCATTTTTCGAGACAGGATTTCTCTGTGTAGCTCTTGTTGTCCTGGAACTCTCTCACTGTAGACCAGACTGGCCTTGAATTCAGAGACCTGTCTTTCTCTGCCTCCCAAGCACTGAGACATTCTTTATACATTCTGTATATGAGTCCTCTGTCATGTTTAGTTGGGAAAGATAGTCTCCCAATCTATAGGCTTCCTCTTCACCTAGTTGTTTCTTTAGCTGTGCAGAGGCCTTTTCAGTTTTATGATGCCCCACTTGTTCATTGTTAGCCTTACTTCTTGGGCAAATTAAATCCTATTCAGAAAGCCCTCCCCCACATCTAAATAGGTAGGGTACTGCCTATGTTTTTTCTAGCAGTATCATTGTTTCAGGTTTCACATTTAGGTCTTTGATCCATTTGGAGTTAGTTTTGTGCAAAGTGATAGCCACAAGTCTAATTTTTTTCCTTCATGGCAGCATCTAGTTTTCCCAGCACCAATGGTTGAGGAGGCTTTCTTTTCACCAGTGAATTGTTTTTAGCAGCTTTGTCAAATATTAAATGGCTGAAGTTATGAGTGATCATGTTTGGGTCTTCAGTTTTGTTCCATTGGTCTACATAGCTGTTTCTGTGCTAGCACCATATTTTTATTATTACTATGGCTTTGTAACATATCTTAAGCTGGAATGGTAATTTCTCCAGCATTGTTCTTTTTTTTTTTTTAAATCAGGATTGTTTTGGCAATCTGGGGTAGTTTGTGGTTCCATGTGAATTTTAGGACAATTTTTTTTTTCTATTTCTGGGATAGGATGGTAATTTTGATTGGAATTGTATTACATCTGTAAATAGCTTTTAGTAAAATTTTGGTAATTTTCACAATATTCTGCCAATCAATTAGCATTGGGTGTCTTTCCATTTTCCAGTGTCTTTTTCTCTTTCTTCAGAGGTTTAAAGTTTTCATTGTAGTAGTCCTTTACTTCCTCAGTTAGGTTTACTTCTGGGTGTTTTATTTTCTTGGAGGCTGTTGCAAATGGCAGTGTGTCTACGATCTCTTTCTCTCTATGTTTGTTGTTGGTATAGGAAAGGTATTGGATTAGTATAAGTTGATCATGTGTCCTTCCACACTGCTGAATTTTCTTACTGTTTCTAGCAGTTTCCTGGTAGAATTTTCTTTGGGGGATATCTAATGTATAACATCATGTCATCTGCAAATGGGAATAGTACAACCTCCTTTTTTATTTTATCCCTTTGTTTCCTTCTCTTGCCTTATATTCCAGCTAGTATGTTGAGCACGACACTGAAAAGTAGTGGGAATAGTGGACACCCCTTTCTTGTTCCTGATTTCAGTAGGGCTGCCTCAGGCTTTTCTCCACTAAAATGATGTAGCCTGTGAGTTTCTCATATATAGCTTTTATTATGTTGCAGTATATTCCTTCTAGCCCAATATTCTCTAGGGTTTTTACCATGAAATCATGTCGGATTTTGTCAAAGGCTTTTTTTGCATCTATTGAAATGATCATGTGAGTATTTTTCTTTAAGTCCATTTATATGGTTTATTACATGCATTGGCCTGTGTGTGTTGAACCATCCCTACATTTCAAGGATAAAGCCAAGCTGGTCATAGTAGATAATGTTTTTGATGTATGTCTGTATTCTGTTTGCAAGTATCCTATTGAGCATATTCAAGTCTATGCTCATCAGAGAAGACATTGGCCCATGGTTTCCTTTGTTGTCCTCTCTTCACCTGGTTTGGGTAGTAGAGTGATACTGACTTCACAGGAGTTTTGGAGTGTCCCCTTGCTTTTGTTTTTTGTTTTTTTTTCTGGTTTTTTTTTTTTTTTTTTTTGCTTTTTTTTGTCTGTTTTTTAGTAGTTTAAGAAGTGTTGGCTGTAGGTCTTCTTTGAAACAAAAAGTAGAATTCTGCTGGTCTATCTAGCCCTGGACCATTTCTAGCTAGAAACCTTTTTATTACTATTTCATTCTCCTCATTTATTTTGGGTCTATTTAGGTTGTTGACTTCCTTTTGGTTTTGATGGTTTGAATCTAGAAACTCATCCATTTATTTTAGGTTTTCCAACTTAATGGAGTATAGGTTTTTAAAATATTTCCTTAAAATATTCTGAATTTCATAGGTATCTGTTGTAATGGTTATTGTTTTTTAATGTTGTAGTGTTGTCTATTTCTGATTCTGTTAATTTGGCTCCTGGTCTCCTTTCTAGTGTGGTGACCTACACACACACACACACACACACACACACACACACACACACACACATATACATACACATATCCACATACACACTTTCAGTTTAGGTTCTAAGTCTGAGAAAAACTACACAGCATTTGTCTTTCTGAGTCTGGTATATTTTAATTATCATAATGATTTCCAATGGCATCCATTTTCTTGCAATTGTTTCAATGATCTCATTTTTCTTTATGGCCATGTAAAATTGCTTTGTGAGTATGTTTCACATTTTCATTATACATTCATATTTGTTGATAGCTGTCTAGTCTAGTTTCTTTTTCTGGCTATTGTGAACAATTTAGCCAGAAACCTGGATGTCGATTATCTTTGTGATATGCTGACTTTGGGTATGGAGTGTCCTATGGTAGTTCTGTTTTCAGTCTTTTGAAGAACTACCATACTAATTTCACAGCAACTGCACAAATGTATATTCCAACTAGCAGCGAGTTAAGAATTTTTCTTTTCCTGTATCGTGGTCAAGATTTGCTATGTGTTTTCTTGATGCTAGCTATTCTGAGTAGAGTGAGACGAACTCTGAAGGCAGTTTTAATTTACATTTCCCTGATGCCTACAGATGTCAAAAAAACCTTTCCCTGTGGTGATATTGTGTTCCTCAATATATCGTGCACCCTAATAAATTTATCTGGGGTCAGAGAACAGAATAGCCACTAATCAAACATAGAGGCCAGAAAATGGTGGCACTCACACCTTTAATGCTAGCATTCTGGAAGCAGAGATCCATCTGGATCTCTGTGAGTTCAAAGCCACACTGGAAACAGCCAGGCATGGTGACTCACGCCTTTAATCCCAGGAAGTGATGGCAGAAAGCAGAAAAGGTATATAAGGCGTGAAAACCAGGAACTAGAGGCTGGTTAAGCTTTTAGGCTTTTAGCACAGTTCAGCTGAGATTTATTGTGGATGAGGACTCAGAGGTTTCCAGTCTGAGTAAACAGGATCAGCTGAGGAATTGGAGAGGTGAGGAAGCTGTGGCTTGTTCTGCTTCTCTGATCTTCCAGCATTCACTCCAATAACTGGCATCAGGTTTGATTTTATTAATAAGACCATTTAGAATTACATCTACATTTCCCAGTATTTACTGGCCATTGGTATTTCTTCTTTTGAGAATTACTCACTAGCCCATTTATTGTTTGGATGGCTTTGGGTCTTTTGGTGTTTAATTCTGCAGTTCTTTATGTATATTAGATATCAGTCCCCTACCTTGTATGTAGTTGTTGATGTTCCCCACGTTTTAAGGCAGTCTCTTTACTCTGGGGATGGTTTTCTTGCTGTGTTAGTTTCATTTCCATAGCTCTGATAAAAATCTCCATGCAACTCACACTCTGCCGCCGATTTGCACTGCGTGTCTTTTCGCTGCTCGGTCACCCCGTCCTTCGCCGATCACAATGGAAGAAGAAATTGCCGCACTCATCATTGACAATGGCTCCGGCATGGGCAAAGCTGGCTTTGCTGGCGATGACGCCCCCAGGGCCGTGTTTCCTTCAATCATCGGGCACCCCCGACACCAGGGCATCATGGTGGGCATGGGCCAGAAAGACTCCAATGTGAGTGACGAGGCCCAGAGCAAGAGAGGTATCCTGACCCTGAAGTATCCTATCGAGCACGGCATTGTCACCAACTGGGATGACATGGAGAAGATCTGGCATCACACTTTCTACAATGAACTGTGTGTGGCCCCTGAGGAGCACCTGGTGCTTCTGACCAAGGCCCCCCTGAATCCCAAAGCTAACAGAGAAAAGATGATGCAGATAATGTTTGAAACCTTCACCCCAGTCATCTAGTGGCCATTCAGGCGGTGCTGTCCCTGTATGCATCTGGGCTCACCACTGGCATGGTCATGGACTCTGGTGACGGGGTCACACACACTGTGCCCATCTACGAGGGCTACGCCCTGCCCCATGCCATCTTGCGTCTGGACCTGGCTGGCCGGGACCTGACAGACTACCTCATGAAGATCCTGACTGAGAGGGGCTATAGCTTCACCACCACGGCCGAGCGAGAAATTGTGCGCGCATTAAGGAGAAGCTGTGCTACGTTGCCCTGGATTTTGAACAAGAAATGGCTACTGCTGCATCGTCCTCTTCCTTGGAGAAGAGCTATGAGCTGCCTGATGGGCAGGTGATCACCATCGGCAATGAGCGCTTCCAGTGTCCAGAGGCGCTCTTCCAGCCTTCCTTCGTGGGCATGGAGTCCTGTGGCATCCACGAGACCACCTTCAACTCCATCATGAAGTGTGATGTGGATATCCGCAAGGACCTGTATGTCAACACAGTGCTGTCTGGTGGAACCACCATGTATCCAGGCATTGCTGACAGGATGCAGAAGGAGATCACCGCCCTAGCACCCAGCACAATGAAGATTAAGATCATGGCTCCCCCTGAGTGCAAGTACTCAGTCTGGATTGGCGGCTCCATTCTGGCCTCACTGTCCACGTTCTAGCAGATGTGGATCAGCAAGCAGGAGTATGACGAGTCGGACCCCTCCATCGTCTACCGCAAAGACTTCTAGATGGACTGAGCAGGTGCCAGGCATCTGCTGCATGAGCTAATTCTGAAGTATCAATTTGCCCTGGCAAATGTACACACCTCATTAGCTAGCCTCATGAAACTGGAATAATCCTTTGAAAAGAAATTTGTCCTTGAAGCTTGTATCCAATATCAGCACTGGATCGTAGAACTTGTTGCTGATTTTTGACCTTGTATTCAAGTTAACTGTTCCCTTGGTATATGTTTAATACCCTGTGCATATCTTGATTTAGTCCTTAGTCCTGTGACTCGGTCACTTGGTGGCTGGGGAGAGCACAGCTGTGGCGGAGAACCCCAGCCTGGTGGATCTGTGAATCACCATGCAGTGATCTGTGCAGGGATTAAAACCAACAGCTGACTTCCAGGATTTCTAGAGGCTGGCAAGGGTTCCTGAACCAGTTACCACTTCCGTCTTGCCGGTTTAACTGTGGGAAAGTCCGAACCTTAGGACCCAGGTTCCGTTCTGGTGTTTCCCTCCTGACCGCCGTGGGTTGTTACTTGACTTGAGTTGGGAAAGTTTGCATTGACACCTGTAAATGTATTCATTCTTTTAATTTATGTAAGGTTTTTTTGTACTCAATTCTTTTAAGAAATGACAAATTTTGGTTTTCTACTGTTCAGTGAGAACATTAGGCCCCAGCAACACGTCATTGTGTAAAGGAAATGAAAGTGCTGCAGTTAAAAAAAAAAAAAAAAAAAAAACTCCATGCAAAAAGCACCTCGAGGTGAAAGGATTGCTTCAGTTCACTATTCCAGGTTGCAGGTCAAGTCAGGGAAGGCAAGGAGCTCGTTTTTATTTTTAAATTACAAATTAGTTTACAAATTACAATTTTTTTAAAACAACACATGATTTTAAAATAGGTTTATTATCGTATGTGTGTGTATGTGTGTGTGTGTGTGTGTGTGTGTGTGTGTGTGTGTGTGTGTGTGTGTCTGCTGCACGGTGTGCATGCAGGTGCTGGAGGGGGCTAGCAGAGGGCACTGGATGCCCTGGAACTAGAATTACAGGCAGTTGGGAGCCACCTCAAGTGGTTTCTGGGAGTGTGTGTGTGTGTGTGTGTGTGTGTGTGTGTGTGTGTGTGTGTGTGTGTGTCTGCTGCACGGTGTGCATGCAGGTGCTGGAGGGGGCTAGCAGAGGACACTGGATGCCCTGGAACTAGAATTACAGACAGTTGGGAGCCACCTCAAGTGGTTTCTGGGAGCCAAACCCAGGTCCTCTGGAAGAGCAGCCAGTATTCTTCACTTCTGAGCCATCTCTTCAGCACCTGTTGGGTTTTTATAAACACTATCATGATAATTATCCTCAAGGGTATGTCTCGAGAAAACTCCATCATTGTTCATTTTTAGTAAATGTCTAGAGGTGGAATTCCTGGGCCAATGGCATACCCAGTGTTTTCATCTGTGTTCCCCACTAATGAATTATGACATGCCCATTACCCTGCTCTTCAGGGTGTGGCTTGTGAGTGGAGCAGCCCCAGGGGCTATAACTCAAAGACCATCCCACAGGGAAGAACTGTTCGTCAGTCTGTCAATCTGTCTGTCGTTTAACTGTCAGTCTCTGACTTCCCCCTTTCAAAACCAATAAACAAGGAGAAACGAAAGAAATAAAACAAAGACCCTTCTTAACTTCTTCAGTTACCCAAGAAACCAGTTCCTTTTGTTCCTCATGGCAGGACATGGTTTAAGTGTCAGATTGAGAGTGACATTGCCCACATTCTGTAGTGGGAGGAGCACTTGTTAATTCGTCTATCAATTCTCATTATCATGTAATTGTATGTGTTATCACAGTATTCTGTGTATATGGTGTGCACTTCAGAGAGCACTCAGGGCTACGACTGAGACAACTTGTGCCAGATCTCATCCCCAATTTTCCCCCAGAAATACTGTCCCTTCAGTTTTATAGTGGAGGTTGACTGCAGACCCTTCAGCAAGCTGGGCAAGGGCTCTGTCACTCAGGTGCACCCTCAGCCCTTGACATTCTCAGGTAAGATCTCACTATATAGCATAGGCTAGTTTCGAACTCAGGATCCTCCTGCCTCAGCCTGCTAGGTGATGGAATAAAAGGCATGCATCCTCATACCTGATACTGTAATTTTGGGGATTTGAATTTCAGATAATTATTATCTTCTTGCTATGATAACTCCCAGGAGTGAAAAGTAAACAAAGTATGTTATCTAGAATTATAGAATTAGTAAGTAATACATTTTAATAAAACCTCATTGAAAAAAAGAACCCCATTTGTTACTCTCTCTCTCTCTCTCTCTCTCTCTCTCTCTCTCTCACACACACACACACACACACGTACACTTTGCTAATACCTTTCTTACAATATAGTTATCTCACAATTTTTGGTTGAGTCTATCACTGTTTTCATTGTGATCACTATGTAGCTGTTCATAGCTGAGCTATGTAATAAACTGTAAAAATACTCTTATAAAGTTTTCCTTTTTCTTAGAAACATAGCCCCCCACAACTTAACTATTTTTTATTTTAAAATTATATTTATTAACATTCTTGTGAATGCATATGTATATGTGTAGGTGCACATATATCACAGTATGACATGGAGACTTGGAAGATGGCTTTTGGAAATCCATTGTGTTCCTTCTACCATTGTGGAATATTAAAGTGTGTCACATTTGTTTATGCTGTAGAACATTTGTTGATGCAAAGATGTTGCATTCTTTTGTGTTGCATTTGTTGAACTCTGTGAAGCTGTGTTACTGTGCCTGTGTAAAACACCTGATGGTCTAATAAAGAGCTGAACAGCCAATAGTGAGGCAGGAGATCGGATAGGCAGGGCTGGCAGGCAAAATAAATAGAAGGAGAAATCTGGAAACAAGGAGGAAGAAAGAGCAAGAGGAGAGGAGGATGTCAGGGGCCAGACAGCCATGGAGTAAGAGCGACAAAAAGATATACAGAAGAAAAGAAAAAGCTCAAAGGCAAAAGGTAGATGGAAGAATTTAGGTAAGAAAAGCTGGAAAGCTGGGGGTGGGGGTGGGGGGGGTGGCACACGCCCTTTAATCCCAGCACTTGGGAGGCAGAGCCAGGTAGATCTCTGTGAGTTCGAGGCCAGCCTGGGCTACAGAGTGAGATCCAGGAATGAAATCAAAACTACACAGAGAATCCTTGTCTCAAAAAAAGAAGAAAGAAAGAAAGAAAGAAGGAAGGAAGGAAGAAAGGAGGGAGGGAGGGAGGGAGGGAGGAAAGGAAGGAAGGAAGGAAGGAAGGAAGGAAGAAAGAAAGAGAAGAAGGAAGGAAGAAAGAAGAAAGAGAGAGAGGAAGGAAGGGAGGAAGGAAGGAAGAAAGAAAGAAAGAAAGAAAGAAAGAAAGAAAGAAAGAAAGAAAGAGAAGAAGGAAGGAAGAAAGAAAGAAAGAAGAAAGAGAGAGGAAGGAAGGAAGGAAGGAAGGAAGAAAGAAAGAAAGAAAGAAAGAAAGAAAGAAAGAAAGAAAGAAAGAAGAAAGAAAGAAGGAAAGAAAGAAAGAAAGAAAGAAAGAAGAAAGAAAGAAAGAAAGAAAGAAAGAAAGAAAGAAAGAAAGAAAGAGAAAGAAAGAAAGAAAGAAAAAGAAAGAAGGAAGGAAGGAAGGAAAGAAAGAAAGAAAGAAAGAAAGAAAGAAAGAAAGAAAGAAAGAAAGAAAGAAAGAAAGAAAGGAAGAAAGGAAGAAAGGAAGAAAGAAAGAAAAAGGAAGAAAAAGGAAGAAAAAGAAAGAAAGAAAAGATCTGGAAAGAAAGAAGCCAAGCTAAGGCCAGGCATTTATTAATAAGAATAAGCCTCTGTGTGTGAGCTGGGTAGCAGGGCCCCCAAGAGCCAAAGAGCAAAGAGTAAAAAACAACATTCTACCATGTGGGGCTCAGGGATTGAACTCAGGTTGTTAGGGTTGTAGGCCAAGTGTCTTTGTACATTGAGCCATTTCACAGACCCCACACTTTACTGTTTATTTAGCACTAATCCTTCTCCAGACTTCCAGTTTCAGTATCTGTCCCTTTTTTTCTTCATTCGTTGGAACCATCAATCTAGTCAGCGTGTTCTTTAATTCTGGGGAACTGAAATTTTTTTTTCATGATTTCTCCCCGTCACTTCTCTCTTTCTGGAATCACCTCTAGTCAGATGTTGTTTATACTTTGTATCCTTGCTTCTTCTTATGCACTGTGGAGCACTGTGCCAACTTAGATTTCACTATGTGATTAATTTCTAAGGAGTCTTTTTTTCTTATATTTTGGTTGTGAGCCTAGCCTTTAACGGCTGAGCCATCTCTCCAGCCCCTTTTTTTCTATTCATGGCTTTTTCTTAGTATATTATTCTTACTGTAGAGGTACGGTCTTTTCCTTATTTTCCTAAGGACTTTAGTAAAAAGTTCATAATTAAATATAGTTTGTATTGTACAATACATCTCTTTCTTTCCACTTATTTTTGTGCAAGTGTGGTGGGGAAAATCGAGTCAATTCAGCTTTGTGGGTTTGGGGAAAATTCTAGTAGTCTATTTTCTCTGCAGATTTTTAACCAATATTTCATATCATTTCCCCGAAAATTAATTGTTATTTTTGACAGTTTTGTTCTCTAAAGTCACTGAAAACACTGAATTAGCAAATATTGAACCATTTCCCAGTGGAAAACACAGGGCTGGGTTCCTCTGGACCTTTGCTCTGTTCCGTGCTTTAGTGTGTGTTTGATTTCAGTTACTGTGCTAGGTACAGTGGGACCTTTCTATCTAGGAACAAGTGCTCTTCAATTCTGGGAATTATATTAGTTCTCTCATGATATTTCCATCATCTGAATAATGCATAACCTAGTTTTGAGTGTGTTTCCCTTAAAATACATTATTTGTAGTGTATTGTTGATGAACTCAGCTCAAGGCTAACCACTATACTTCATGCCTGAATGAGGCTTTGTCTAGCATTTATTTGCTCCATAAAGCACATCCCATAGTCTTGGGAATGGTAGCTAGCACTCAAAACTATGCACATGGCCATTTGAAACAGTATAGTCAGTAAACATTGGTACAGAAAACAAAAATTTTTTAAAAAGTGGCACTAAGTGGACCACAAAAAGGATACTTATATACTTTGAGTGCGGATCAGAAGGCAGCTAGGTTGACTTCAGCTGGAAATTTGTGTATCAGGTAATTTAATTTTCTGATACTGTACACACATCTACAAATGACCAAAACTGCTGTATTAGTTTGAGAGTTTACAAATAAATATTAGTAAGTAGGCAAATTTAGAAATAAAAGCCATGAAAAACGAAGGTGAGTTATGCCAACTAATGTCTCAAATTCCTGAACCATATGTGAGTCTATAGCATAATTATACTTATTTCCTATTGACATTCTTTAGATACTTTTAGGCCTCAGCATTCTCATTTAACAATTCACTTACCATCGGTTTCACTTCCCACTGTTTTGAAAAAGAGTTTAAATTTTAATTAAAATGTAATTGCATTTTATTTTTGCATTAATGTAATTGCATTAATCACTCTCCCTCTTCCCTGTCCTGCCTCTAATCCCTCTCATATCCCTTCTCTGAAACTCCTCCTATGCCCCTCTCTCTCTCAAATTGATGGCTCCATTTTGATTATTATTATTACATATTATATAAATGCATTAACACAGCCTGCTGAGTCCATTAGTGTGGCTTGTGTGTATGTCATTTCAGGGCTGATCACTTTGTACTGGATAACC